ATGTGAAATGAATGAGTAATCGAATCAAATAATCAGTTAGTAGTAAGACTAGCAGAGTGAATAAATGCGTAGGCCGTAAGCAATATTCAAGCCTACGTATTTCACACAAGCACAAAATAATAAGGGTACAATAAATTGTTATAGTGAGGGTGACTTTGTCCGCTAAATGAGTTAGCAAAAGGGCTTAAATGCGTTAGATGGGACTAAACTCATTTGCTATATATCCTTCAAGGGGCAACTTGACCTATTCTTAAGGACCAAGGACAGCATCATACTATGATTTACCAATTTCTTTTGCCTCTTTTATTGTTAACATACCTAGGTTCCTGCCTGGAGGATTTGGTGATCCTCTGATACTAGACACGGAAGCCTGTTAAGCGAAAGCTTCTTCTCTTCCGTCCACAACCATTTGAACCATTTGAACTCAATAGAGCTAAAAGTAACGTGTGAGAAAGCAATTTTCAGACAATAAATAGAGGACACCATGTAGCGGCAATTCAGAATTCCTGCCATACAACACTTGAGACCGTCCATTTAAATACTGAAGCATTTCCAGTTTGTCCTTGACACAGTTATCGGCCGGTGGCTCTTCTGTCATTACCTTCAAAACTCATGGAGTCCCTGATATGCGATGGTATAAATGACTATCTACTGTCCTTAAATGTCTTCTCACCCCAACAGCATGGTTTCAGGAAGGGTTACTCTTGTACAACCAACCTGCTGACTGCGGTGGACAGATGGACAAGCATCCTCATTTGCAAGGGGAAGGTTGATATCGTTTACCTTGATTTCTCAAAAGCTTTTGATAAGGTTAGCCACTTGTGTCTTATCAACAAGCTCAAGCGATTGGGTATCAGAGCACCTCTAATTGATTGGCTTACTTCATACCTAAAAAATCGACACTTCAAGGTTGGGGTTAATTTCACTTTATCTCAGGCTATGGAATGTCCTAGTGGGGTCCCCCAGGGCTCAGTACTAGGACCTCTTCTCTTCTTGATCTACATAAATGATCTTCCTCAACAGGTAACGTCAGACTTATTACTTTTTGCCGACGACGTGAAACTTTGGAGAGAGATACGCAACCATAACGATACACAGGCACTTCAGGAGGATCTGACGCGACTTCAAAGTTGGGCAGACGATAACGGACTTACTTTTAACACTTCAAAGTGTAAAGTAGTCCATCTGCGACATGTCGCAAACTACAGTTACAACTTAGGAAACTCCTCTCTAGTAGTATCCCAAGTCGAAAAAGATTTAGGAGTCCTGATGCCCCATGATTTAAAGTCTTACGCTAACTGTGACAAAAATGCCTTCCGAGCAAACCTTGCACTGGTAACGTTGAAGCGCATTTTTGGCCAGTTTGACGGAAGAACTTTCCATATAATCTTCAATAGTTTCATCCGTCCCCATTTAGAGTACGGAAACATAGTACTCCCCCCTCACTCCAAAAGGACAAGGTCACTTTGGAGCATATCCAACGGCGAGCCACGAAATCAGTTCGAGGACTCAAATCTAAGCCTTACGAAGAACGCCTCCGTTCACTAGACCTTTACCCACTAGAGTATAGGCGTCTTAGAGGTGACTTTTAATGGCTTACAGTATTCTAATACTTCTGGACATCCTCTTAAACACCTACTTAAGCTTAGTTCGAACACAACCAAAGGGGTAACACCCAGAAACTGGAGACACAACATAGCAAAACGGATTGTAGACACAACTTCTACTCCTTAAGAGTTGTCAAATGCTGGAACTCGCTGCCGGCCGAGCTAGTCCAAGCGACTTCTCAGGAGTCCTTCAAGAGGCAACTTGACCTATTCTTAAGGACCAAGGACAGCATCACACTATGATTTACCAATTTCTTTTCCTCTTTTATTGTTAACATACCTAGGTTCCTGCCTGGAGGATTTGGTGATCCTCTGCTACTAGACACGGAAGCCTGTTAAGCGAAAGCTTCTTCTATTCCGTCCACAACCATTTGAACCATTTGAACAGTGACCCTGGAGAGTCGACGCGCCACGTAAGTTGACCTACTTGGAGGTCCGTGCGTACTTTTTGTATTTACAGTTGCTTGGCTTCCCATTAACGGTGCACTGTCTATGAAGACTTTCCAATCGGTCCATAAGCATTTATTAGCTATCTTTATTGTTTCACATAGACTGATGACAACTTCATATTAGGGTAGGCCCAGTCTAACTGAATTGTTCATGTTATGGGATTTATAAACTTTGGAGCTAGCTTCTGTAAAGCTTCTTTATCACTTCGGATCTTATTATCACACAAGCATAAAGCAAACGTCGCCCAATCTTCAGACCATGCATGTTCTTGTATTTATGTACAGGGTGGCATCAAATACACATGCGCCACATAAACCACTCGATTTATGTGAGGGCTGGGATTCTATCCGGGTGTCAAAACCAAAGTAGATGGTTTATTTAGGGGGCCACACCCTGAGTCTTTACTTGAAGGTCTAATCCACAAGGTAGTAGACCAACGTCTGGAGATGCAGTCCCATGGTAGTCTGTGACAAACAATAGGTTCATACGCCATTTGTTCCTTCATGATCCTAAAGTACATGTTTGAAATCAGGGTTTTCCAATAATTTTAGGTGGACCTGTGTGTCCACCAACCCGGCTAAAGTGCCGAACACTCAATTCATCCTCTCAATTCTCGCAAACAACAGTAATGTCACGAAAAGACAATGAGTATGACTTGGCTCACAGTGGCTGTATACACGGTTATGTAAGGGCATTTCGAAAGGAAAAGCTGATTCTACCCACCCTCGTCCATACCAGGGTATTTCACTTAAAACTAATGAAACTTCCCATAGTCGAGAGATCGGGGATTACTACAGTCTGTGTGACAAAACGGAGAACGTTTGCTACATTGAGTGAAATTGTTTAAGATCATGTTCTTATTATTTTTATTTTACCTTCAGGGGAAGTATATTTAAACAAAAATGAGCAAAACCATCTGTATCAGTTACTTCCGAATGGCCAAACTGACCTTTTTAACACAAAAAGAAACCTGTACCTCTATAGACAAGTTTAGTTCTCGTAAATAGCTGTTAAGCATGTTTATCCACCATAGGTCCTCTAATTTCTGTCCTGGTTCTCACCAAGATCTTTGCACATCTCGTTCGTTATTTTGATGCCTACATAAATTTCTTGCAAATACACAACAAAATCCGTACCTCACATCGCATTGTTAGACAGAAATACCGAGACCATATTGTGTTGGGTTTTGATTCTGAAAAGTTTTAAGCCTATGATTGTCATAAAGGGCTATATGTATTTTGGTAGGGGTGGACTACTACGTTGGCTTCTAACTTATGATTGTGTTGAACCCATGGGACCAATGAACACAGCTAATGCAGCCGCGAGTACAACGCAGGAGATAGTTGCTATTAAAAAGTGTGGATTAGATTACAAATAAAATTCCTATATTTGGTTTACGGAAAAAAAGCTGGTTACAATATGACTGTAAAGTATAATACTACATTTCCTTGTCTCGAAAGTTACTTGTCTTTTGAACCAAGTTTAAAGATAAGCGACTGAAAAATGCAAAGTTAAAAATCTATCACAGTTCGATTAGTACATCTGTTTATGTTTAAAGTTATTCAACCGCTACCAAATCATCTGTAAAATGTCCTAAGACCAACCATTTATGATCAGAATTATGGCGGTCACTGGTGTATACAACTCAAGACTCATTGTAACACCCAATAAAACTTACACACTTTGAATCTTCTTCTTAGTTATTAGTCCACTCTTTTGTTAGCTAATTTGTATTACAGAGATTCAAACGTTAATTCCAACAACTATGTGGTGAGTTTTATATATGTTTCATTCTCTGATGTCTAGGTTCTGCATTAGTATCAATAACCTACACATTACATATTTCATTCGAAAACGCCGACAGACCTGGACGCAACTTATTTGTATTCTTAGTTAATTGTTTGCTGGATAGTATTGTAAACTGGCTTCGATAACTTCTATCTAATATATTGCACCACTTTATTCTAACGTTACCCTAATCTTTTCTTCGAGATTTTAGATGATGGCGTTTTTGGTGACCCAGACATATTCATTCTTTACGTTTTTCTAGTTATTGAGTTTTAACATCATTTTGTATTCTGTTACGTCAACATTTTTGTGGAGGTTGGCCAGTTTAAAGTTTGTTTTCACCCGAACTGACGTGTCCTTGGAGCACGGGAAATTAGCTTCCTCTTAGTTTATGGTTGTATTTTGCTTTATCGATATTATTATTTCGACCAGTTTTCATCTGGTCAGTTCCTTCACAGTTTAGTGATTTATTTATTTATTTGAACACCAATATTGGTACAAACGGGCAACACATACATATGCGCCACACAAGTCACTTGATTTGTGTGTGAGCTGTGATACTGCCCGGGTGCCCAAACAGAAACAGTGTAGTGATGTAAAACACATCTCCGTTACCTGATCTACGTATGTACCAGATCCTAAGTTGTATAATTTTATGTACAGGATTTCTGATGTCACTAACATAAGTAAACTCCCCAACCATAACGTATCAACTCTAAGACAGTTTGTAACCGTTTAGTTTTAGTTCCCATAAAATCTATTTGCTAATGTTTGCTTTTTTCATTCTCCAGTAACTTGGCTGATCACTAAATTTGTACTTGATATCAACAAATAAGTGCCCTCATCGAGAAACTTTCAACTGCGCTTTACGTCTAACATGTGGTTTAGTGATGTATACGATATCGCATTAGGTTTGGGGAACTTCGTCCCACAATATTTGTGCATATTCTTATCGACATTGCTTGTTTTGACGCCTTTCTCCTCTGTTGACGCTGTTCAGGAATTCACCGTTTATCGCGCCCAACAATACGATTTCCAAGGTGTTCGTATTGGTATGTTTCTTTTGCACACGTAAATGACACAGCTTTCTAGGTAGTCGATTGTCGTCTGTAAATTGTGAAGCCCAAACACAAAGCAATAAAATAGTTGGTCGGAATGCCTTCTTTTACGGTTAGCAGAAGTGACAGTAGATATTATCAAAGATGCCATTTACCACAAAGTTGCTGGAATTATAATTATTCTACCATCCCATCCGTGGCCACAAGCATTAATAAATGTAACATTACCTATTCAACATTTTCTCAGCATTTTATCCATGTAGAAAAGGAGCTATTAACTGATGAATTTCAAATCCCTATCTACTTTACTTTTAACAGTTCATCAGTACAGGAAGTATTTGAACAGGTTAGTCAACTCACTAGGTCCAATACACAGAGCTCAGGGTTATCTGGTAAGTTCCTGTTAATATTGTTCTACTTTCAGCCTTAACTCGAGCGATATCGTCAACTGGGTACCGATTGTTAACTGGATCACCAGTACCAAAGCCTATAGCTGATAATTATGTGTTAAACATAGAGGTAACAACATTTTTGTCATACTTAATTTTTAGGGTCGTCTTGGGAAAGAGAGTGCTAAATCCACTATTATTATTTGTGCACATTATGATGCGATTTCAGCAATCCCGTAAGTTTGACATCCCTGTAAATTGTGAAATATTGAACTAATGTGACGGCATTCTAATTTTGAATATTCACTAGTGTTTTCTCTTAGTTGTCCTACTATACACTAGGAACACTGCAAAATAAACCTATGGTCAAATATATATATTTTATTAACACTTCACCTTACTGACGACTTCTTAAAGCAGATTTTTCCAGTATGCTCGCACTTTGTTATGTTATAGTGTTGTTGTTTGGCATATACCAAGCATATATATACATTTGTTAATAACGTTACTGTATCTACTGAAAGATGAACTTCCATTCAGAAATTTAAGTACACACTAGTCACTTCGTTTCTTCCATGTCCCATGCAACTAAAATAGGGTAATTTATACTCGTATTTTACTATACAACGTGGAACGTATGTACTTGTATTCATCATACAGATTATCTGGTAGAATTTGAACCTTTCAGCTTAGCTTTTAAAACAGTAACCCAATTATAATAAAAATTGTTAGTACCCACCTAGATACGATGTAATTTTTCTGAAGCTTATCATCTGTTAAAGGTTACATCGTATTTAAATTGATTAATTCTGGCAGAATCTTCAACAGGCTATAAAATTACTTTATATCACAAAATCATTTAACTTGTCTATATTACCGTAACTCTAATCGTAAAATCATGTCACCAGTGTTTTGTCATTATATGTTACAGAGTTTGGCTTATGGAGCCGATGCAAATGGTAGTGGTGTGGTTATCTTACTGGAACTTGCTCGTCTATTATCACGTCTCTACGCAAATGAAGCTAATAAGTTGCCGTAAGTGTTTTAAAAAATTACAATTTGATTGGATGTTTAAAAAAATTTGTTCGTTTTATTATACAATTGATTCTGAGAGTTCTATATAGTGACATAGGTGAGACTATAATTTATGAACAACCTTTAAGCGGCGCTAAAGTAACCTTGAGAGTGTTCACCTAATAACTAGAACCAAATAAGGGTTATTAAACAGCGTGAGGAATTAGAACTATGATTTACAGTTGATGATTAGCGTTAGAGATTAGATTTAGAGTTTTCATCACGAACTGACACCAGCCATAATGCTAAAACTCTATTTAGCCAAATTGATGAGTGAATTTCACGCCAAAATTTCGTTATTTGATGCTTTGAAAACAAGATTCACTATCTAAACATTCTACATATGTTATGTAAAGTCGTCTACACTTCACTCAGTTCCCAATACTCTTTTAGTTGTACAAACAAGCAATTGTTGTTTTTTTTTCGGGTAAAGGCTCCTGCTTTTCGGTCGTTTTTCGTTTAACTGTTAAAACGTTCAAGTATAATTCTGTATAACGCCTCAAAATTTTTTGAAAGGTTTACGTATGTATAATAAAACCACTAAGTGAGCAATGCTAAACTTAGAGTTAGGGTGGTATATAGAAAATTTAAGTTGAATAATCAAATCACAAATCAATATCTTATCAGTTCCATTTTTTGTTATACAGGCTCATAGCTGGTCTTGAGCTTCAGGTTTAGCTGCGCCACACTTGATTTGTGTGTGAGCTGTGATACTGACCGGGTGCCCAGACTGAAGCAGGTGACTTTCTTAGGGGGTCACACCTGGAGCCTTCAACCTAAAGGTCTGATCCACAAGGAAGTAGAGAAACGTCAGGAGATGCACTCCCATGGTACTCGGTCACCAGTAATTGGTTCATACGCCATTCGTTTTCTCAGGATCCTGGAGCCCATGTTCACTATTGGTTTGGAATCAGGGTTTTCCAACTCCCCTAGGTGCATTCTCCGTATCCACCAACCCGGTTAAAATGCCGCAGTTTCTCTTTTCATCCTCTCAATTCCGTAAACAATACCCCCGACCCGAGGAGGCAATGTGTAGGACTTGCCCAACAACAGCTGTATATACGTGGTCATGTGAGAGCACTTTAAGAGGGACAGAAGACTCTTCCCACTGTCGGCCGTACCGGGGCATTTGGGGCAATATTTATAGACAATCCGTTTAACATTATCACTTTTACTGTTTTGATAAAAAGAATTTCAAACGTTCTTAGTACATTACTATGGTATTTCTTTCATAAATCTTATGCCGTTAAAGGTATGATTCAGTTGTTTCCAGTTTTTTTTATGTAAAATCTTGAAAGTAGTTTCTTCGACTGTGTTTAGCTCATCTCTATATTGAGTACTTTTTTTTATCATAAAAAGGCATAACACTCAATGAATTTGTTTATTCAATTTTTCTTATTCAGATATCAAATTGTTTTCCTTTTAACTGGTGGTGGAAAATTCAACTTTGTTGGTTCCAAACGATGGCTTGATCAAAATATTGAAGATTCTGTTGGCTTAAGTATGTTGCTTAGCATTAGTGTAAACCAGTGTTAATCCACAGTCGTCTATACTTTTTTTTAAATAATACTTCTACTACTATTATTACACTTTTAAGAAAATCTTACGGAAGATTTGGTCTTAATAATTCCTTTATCATGTACACATCCATGTACTCGACTTTGATTCGTCCTCTAAATGTAAATATCCGGTGTGTAAGATCTATCTTTTGTAACCGAATTAAGTGGGTTGGGGTGGGGCCCGAACATATGATCCAGTGGTTGAATGTTGAAATTCTTAACCACTAAGCCATTGCTACATTCCTGAAAGTTCATAAAATCAACATTAGTAGTTAATATCTGCGATTTAAAAGGTCAATTTCTTCTTGTAGGTGACTAGTATCTCCTCTCAAGAAAGCTATGTTCCCTATTCTTTAGCACGTTCGACATTATTTTTATCTGTCTGTACTAAGTTATACAGATTAAGCATCTCATACATTTCGTACCATAATAGATTAAGGAATTTAGATCAGTTTCAATATGACCATCATTGTAAGTGGATACTGGTTATACGACTATTGGAAAAAGCAAGGCGTTATTTTTACGAGTTATTGGCATTGAAATATAGTACCTATGTTTCGTCCTACTTGGAACTCCTACTTCATCCTAGTGTCGATGTTTTATATATAGACTCAAACCCCAGTACGTATCACTTTAATTAGTTATCCATTAAGATATTGAGTCGATTTTGACCCCACCTTGTCCAAGACATATGATTTACATCAGTATTTGCAGAAGCTTGGTATTTTTGCGATATTGATATTCAAGACTACATTGGTTTAGCTGGTGAATGTAAAATAGAATAAAATAGGCAACCTCTATCCCATTACTGGCTTCTAGTTGAAATATAATAAAATTGCGGTTATATACGCAATATGATACATAGAATTCACTTAAGGAGCATATATGCTAACCGAAACTGATCAGATAAATACACTTGTGAAAAATATTCTACTATTTGGGACTGCATCCCCTATAGTTGCTCTATTGCCTTGTAGATCAGATCTTTATGTCAAGAACTTCGAGTGTGGCCCCCTAAGAAAACCACCTGCTTCGGTTTGAGCACCCGGGCAGTATCCGAGCTCTCACATTTATATGGTGTATATCTATTTGGTGCCTCCTTGTACTAGTGTTTATGTGTTTACAATATTGAATTCATCAGAGAAAATAAGACTGCTTCTAAGCATTATTCCTATGATGATCGTTGCATTCATAACTGTTTCACTAGTGACATGTTTAATTCAGAAAGTTCTTCATTGTTTTTTTTTAAATATATGTATATTCCAGCTCTTTTGGATTCTGTTGCACAAGTGATCTGTTTGGAAGGTTTAGGTTCACCGAATTTTGGTCAAAATATTTATGCACATGTATCTAAGCCACCAAAAGAAGGTTCATTTTTATATCATTTTCTTAAAGCTTTAAATGTGGCCAGTCACTTACATTCATTTCCAAATGAGGTAAATTTACCCTTATATAATACGTATACATACATATATATTTCACTGTGATTCATTTTCCCAATATAATTTTAGATACTACTGAGACTAATAATTTATTCATTTAAACAAATCAATCAGTCATAAGCAACATAGCACAAATGTCTGTCAGCCAAAGTTGTTACATTATAGTTGACTATGTGATTTCATCGTGAGCTTGATGAGTCCAAGTGCTGTTAGAGGTATGTGGACGGGTATCACTTCCCGAGTGTCTACACCATTTATTCTTAAAGGACCTAAAAAATACTGGATTATTAATGGTCTTGATGATGCAGGTGCATCCACTCTTTGTGTTCTCCCAAATTCTTCGTGTTCCTTTTTTTTCTCTTTACAAGTTGATTTCACTGAATTATACTCTTTGAATAACATCTTCAAACCCTAATCTTTCCGATTACTGTCTATACTTTGACTACCTCTACCACTGTAGGATTTGAATCGACAACTGCATCTCTGTTCTAATGTGGTGTGGCAACTTGAACCGAAGTACATACGTACGAAGCTCTACGTTGTTGCTGACTAAATGAGTTTTCTTTAACATATAAGAAATAATTTTTCAAGAAAATTAAAAGTAAAAATTACAAAATAGTAGTTGATCACAATTATTAAGGTCAATAAAACTATTCTTACAATACTATGTCAGTTTGATAATTTCTTCTATTAAACTTATCACTAAAATTAACATAGAAACATTCACCATATTCATTAAGTTAATTCCGATTTTTATGGTATGATGTAGTTGGATTTGCTTGTATATAGACTGCTTATGCGTGAAATATCATTATTCGTAAAGTGGAGACTGAGATGGTGTTCTGAATTCAGCGAGTAGGGCAGGACAAAGCAAGACAAGAAGGACTAATAAGGACTCAGAGTTGACTCTAGGTCGCTTATGCCGGTTAAGACATCATTGGTTTGGCACAGTGCCAAAGTCATATAAATCGGTTTTGTGATTGGTGATTTCGTCACATGGTAATTAACAGGGCTATTAGAACATAACACTTCTGTCCATTTAATCTCTAAGTTACAATTGAGCTATAGATTCTACTTTATTTTTAATTTATTGTTTTTTATGTCTATATTATAAAAAATGGGGGGATATTTCATCCTAATTTCAGGTATTACTTTACAATCATCATCAATCACCAAATAATAATGAATCCAACAATAATACCATTCAAATGATTCATAAAAAAATCAATTTAAATCAAGAAATTTTAGCATGGGAACATGAACGTTTCTCTATACATCGTTTACCCAGTTTAACATTATCTAATTGGCCATCTGTACAAATTGCAAATCAATGGCGTCAAACATCTTTAGATGGTATTCATATTATCAATAAGAATAATAATAATAATAATCATATATTAATGGATCATTCTAATCAAACTACTCTACATTATGGTACTGTTCATTCAGCTGTATTAGCTCGAAATACTCGTGTTATTTTAGAAGCTCTACTACGTGTTCTATATGATATACATTCAAATCAGTCAATTATCATGAATAATTCACCAATTGTTGAATCTCATGTAAATTTATTTATTTTTAGTTTGTTTTGTTCATTTGTTTACTGGCTTAAAATGTTTTGTTCTCAAATGCTCTGGTATGTCTGAGAGTGGGGAGAGTTAGCTCTCCTTATCGAAATGCTCTCATATGGCCACTGACAGGGAAGTCCTACTCACTGCCTTCTCGTGGTGGGGGTGTTGTTTACGAACTTGAAAGGATTAAAAGCGAATGTCCGGCGCTTTAACCGGGTCGGTGGGGACGGAGGATCCACCTAGGGGAGTTGGAAAACCCTGATTTCAAACCAATAAAGTTCATGGGCTCCATGATCCTGAAGGAACAAATGGCGTATGGACCAATTATTGGTCACCGTCTACCGTTGAACTTCATCTCTCGATGTTACTCCACTGCCTTGTGGATTAGATCTTCAGGTCAAATGCTCTGGGTGTGACCCCCTAAGAAAACCACCTGCTTTGTTTTGGGCACTCGGGTAGTATCACAGCCCTCACACAAATCAAATGAGATTTGTGTGGCGCATATGTATTCGGTGCCCCTTTGTACCAATGTTTATGTGCTTAAATAAATAAAATTTTAGGTTTATTAACCGGATTTACATCTGTATCCCAACGATAATATTCATGCCAAAACTTGTATTCACTACCCAATGCTTTAAACATTACTGTGGTGATGGTTTAATGGCTAAGTTACAACTTTGTACAGTCGGGTTATTATTTGGACACATGAATATTGGTACAAGAGAGCGCCAATATATATGCGCCACACAAAACAATGAAAATTCGAGAGGAATACAAAGAAAGAAAAACTAAGGAGCGCAACAAAAAAAAGAGAACAATAACGAAGAGATTGGTGTAAGGTAATGTGCTAGTAATCAGGGAACGCAAAGGTACAATCGGAAGAAATCTTTCAGGTAAGGGAGACACAACCACTTTTTATGAAGAAAGTAAAAGAAGGTTACAGCAGGATCGCCACTGGCTTCTATTCTGAGCCATATCTGATAACGTCTCTAGCCACTGTGTAGCACCATCTCTCGACCCCAACCAGGGAGTCGTGAAGGACCAACACAAGCCAGTCCTTTGCAGCTTTCTTTCATGCCACGACACCATGTCATGCACTGACCACCTCTCCGCTTCTTCCAACCAGTCCCAGAGTCGGCAAATAATGCACGACGTGGAATTCTCTGGGACGACATTCGGAGAACATGTCCAAGCCACCGAAGTCGGTGTTTCAAGATGGTGACACCAATTGAATTATCATCTCTGTGCCCGAACACACGATGCCGAACCTCTGCATTACTGACATGGTGTTGCCACTGAATGTCAGCAATCCTTCGGAGACAGCGATGATCGAACACAGAGAGTCGTCTAACGTCCTCAACTCGGAGAGGCCAGGTTTCACAAGCATAGAGCAAAACTGCTCTCACCGACGCGTTGTAGATCCGACCTTTTACAGCCAGACTAACATCACGAAGGCGCCAAAGGTGGCCCAGATTGGCATAAGCCGCTCTGGCTTTCACTATTCGTGCATTGATCTCATCACTCACACCCCCACCAGCACTTATGCAGCTACCCAGATACACGAACTTCTCGACTACGTCTATCTGCTCACCATCCAGGGTGAGTACAGGATTGGAATCCTGCCAGTCTTGTAGAAGTACTTTGCACTTCGAAGGTGCAAAGCACATACCATACCTACGGACACTGATTGCCAACTGATTAAGTGCGGATTGCATGCCTTGGGCATTATCGCACAGTAAGACAATATCGTCCGCATACTCAAGGTCGAGAAGTCTTTCTCCAGGCAACAGATCCACACCACCATTACTTACATTCATCAGAGCTGTTTCCAGAATGTCATCGATGGCAAAGTTGAAGAGGAATGGTGAGATTGGGCAACCCTGCCTAACCCCACTGCTCGAATGGAACAATGGAGAGAGGTGGTTGTATGCCCTCACTCTGCCTGAGGTGTTTTTATATAGGGCTTTTAGGATGTTAATAAACTTCTCAGGCACACCCTTCTTCAATAGACAATCCCAGAGAACAGTCCTGTCCAACGAATCGAAGGCAGCCCTGATGTCAAGAAACACTACGATTGTTGGCCTTTGAAAGTATGGCGGTGTTCTAACATTTGGCGGAGGGTGAAGATATGATCAATACATCCTCGACCAGAACGAAACCCAGCCTGCTCCTCGCGAGTCAATCTTTCTCGGGTTTTGAACAACCTACGAAGTATGACGGAAGCCAATAGCTTGGACGCAATCGGAAGTAGACTTATCCCCCGATAGTTGTTACAGGAACGACGTGAACCCTTTTTAAAGATAGGGACAACTATCGACTCATTCCATGACGTTGGTACACTCTCTAGTTCCCAAACCTTTGTAAACAACGTCGTCAATTCCTTAGTCAAAAAGTCACCACCATCTTTAAAAAGAGCCGGAGGTAAGTCATCTGGGCCAGGTGATTTGTAACGCTTCAAGAGTTGGAGTTCCTTGCGGACTTCCTCCTCGTTTGGTGGATCAGTCGTCACCGGCCATGGAGGGCAGGACAGTCTGACCGATGTTGCCGGAGCAGCAGGCCAGTTGAACTGCCCTTCGAAAAATTCTGCCCATCGTCCAAGACGTCGATGGATGTTAGTGATTGGCATCCCATCATCCTCGCAGATTGTTTCACTCACACCAGACTTCTTGCTGCCAGTGGCTCGGATGAGCTGGAAGAGCTTCCGGTAGTTACCAGATGCAGCTGCTGCTTCCAGCTCATTAGCACGCATCGACCACCAGGCTTCTCGGTCCTTACGCAAGCTTTGCCCAATTTCCTTACGTAACATCCTTCGTTTATGGTCAAACTCACGGTCACCCGGAGTAGACCGACGGGCTTCAATGAGTTGTAAGGAACCAGAAGAAACCCAGTGCTTAAAAGCGGGACGTTTCGCAAACCCACAACTGACTGTTCCCGCCATTTTCATGGCGTCATGCAATTGCAACCAATGCTCATCTATACTTTTCGGTGGAGTGGTAGCTAGCCTAGAGGCTAGCTCGGTTCGATACTTACTTGCAACAGAAGTTGCAACCAGCTTGCTAACATCAATCCGTTGTGGCGGTCACTTCGTTGTCCACTGAAAAGTAAGGCAAGATTGGCGCAGACCAAGGCATGGTCAGAGTCCAGATAGGTACTCCAAAAGGAGCGGCAGTCTTTACACAACCACGCCAGCGGTAGCTGATCGCGATGTGATCAATCTGAGTCCAGGCTTGAGATGCAGAGGGAGGACGCCAGGTGGCACATCGGCGATGACTGTGCCGAAAGTTAGTGCTAGCCAGAAACAGGTTGTGGTCTGTGCAAGTTGCAGTAGACGGTCCCCGTTATCTGACCTGCGACCAACGAGTCCCCATCGGCCACCTAAACGACTCTCTTCTGTGCCTAGACGCCCGACCTGAGCATTCAAGTCTCCGGCTAGTACTACAATATCTGTCGAACGCACTTTCTGGAGAAGAACAGATAACTGGTGGTAAAACTCATCCTTGATTGCATCCGGGCTGCAATCTGTCGGGGCATAGGCGGAGATGACGAAAAGACATCGTTTCTCACGCCGATTTCTTCTCACTTTGATGGAACTTTCTAATCTAACAGCACATAACCGACTGTTAATGGGGATCCAATCGACTAGTGCTGCCTCAGCTCTAGCGCTTAGTGCGACACCAACGCCAGCAAGACCAGACGAAGATGCCACAGGGTCCCCGGATAAGCGCACGTAAAACAAGCTTTTCGAAGCGACAGATGGAGATCGAATTTGTAGTACTTCGCCAGAGTCTTGAATACGGGTCTCGGATAGACAACAAACATCAATATTAAGACTTTCCAAAGACATAGCCAGCCCTATCTGTTGTCCGACCTGCATAAGTGTGCGAACGTTGAAGGCAGCCAGTTTGAATGGTGCACGTGGTTTCAGAAAAACTGCTTCAGTACTCGTATTCGGTGGTAACATACAATTTTCAACCGGACAGTGACTCGAGAACGTTTAGATACAGTCGGATTTCCACCAAAGACGAGCCGCTGTATAAGTATAAAAGAGGGTGAATAATGTGGGAAATAATAATAATAATGACAATAATAGTAATAATAATAGTATTAATAATGACAATAATAGTAATGATAATTATTTGAATCGATTGATTGTTTTTGATTTCGGAGCGATAAAAGTAGTTGCCAAAGACATAGAGTTAGTCGGGTAGTATCATTAACTCTCATAGCTAAAGTTTTGCATGTGTCTAACTATACAAACATTTGTTTAGTAAGCGAATTGTTCATTCTGACAAAATATATCCTTGATTGTAATGCTAGTTAGTCTAATGTTAAGAGTACAATCAACTTTTAAATGGTAAGTATTATTCTGGCACCCATCCCCTAATAGAAAGTGACAAAATTTAGTCCGAAATGTATAGATGAAACTCATACAGTTAATGACATCTACGGGTATAAAATATTTATTCCCAAGTTTTATTTCTTATGGTTTGAGTGTATTATTTGACAAGAGTAGTGATTTTCTTAGGCTCAACTTTCAACTATCAGGTCACAGATTTGAACTTCATTACACCTACTTCCTTTCAGACAGCTGGATAGTATGGGATTCGATCAGCGTTAGTCACGAATAACGTAGGATCTGGCACATATGTGAATCATTTAAAGTTAACTCACTTTATCAGTATATCAATATTATATTATCAACATAAATGCCAGAGTCATCGAAGCAGTAACAGTATCAGGGACATTGAAAAGCATTAGATATGGACATGAATAAATAAGAAAAAAAATTAATTCATACCATGAAAAGTACAAGATAATTTTAAAACTTGAAATGACAGAGTGAATACATTTACGTTATTGGAACCGATCCTGAGGTATATCACCTAACGTCTCCATCCATAGATTACGATAATCGCATTTAACTCAATTAGATAGTATACAATCACCAACATTACTCAAGTCAATAACTGAATTGTATTCATCAACATGACTATAAACAATTGACCAAGCAACCATAATAATTTTTTTTACTGAAATAAGAATGTTCAAGGATAGTAATATGTGTAAACCAGTTCAACATCTTACTGTGAATATAGTGGGTTTTTCCCCTGAGTCATTATAATTTAAATGAATTAAGTCTCAGGTTCTGACCCTCATCTCATCTTTACTTCAGTTTAAATAAGAAGGTAGTATCATGAAACTGTAACCGTAAAAGCCAACTTTTTACTTGTACTAAATTATAGTAATTTTAATAGTTGAATTCAAAAGTCAATTGAAGCCAGATCTATTGTGAGACTCCTCAGTGATAGTGTGCATCCACGATCTCGCCTCACGAGATTCAAACCCAGTCATTCACACAGTTAGTTACCGACCAACTCAATGGTCTAATGGTTAAGCGCTTGTTCGCGCGCGCAAGACTGATAGGTCCTGGACTCGAATCTTATGAGGTAAGATTGTGAACGTACACTACCACTGAGGAGTCTCACAATAGGATGAAACAACCATCCAGTTCTTCTACACTTTTATAATTCAATACTTACTTTGAAATTAATAGTGTTTTATCTAATCTATTTCATTTACATGTATATATATAGTGGTCTAATGAAATCACAACAAGTACATTATTAGATTTAATTACTAAAACTCCTCGAAGTGCACAATATTTAACTTCCAAATGGATTACACATTATAAATCTATGGAATATATCACTTCAACAGATCGTAAAGATTCTTTCATCAATAGAACAAGTATTATTAAAGATTTAGAATATTATTTATCACAAATGATTGATGATGTTCATTCAATTCAATATTCATTAAATGATGAAACTATTAAATCCAGTGATAAAACATCATCTTCTAATCATAAAAATAATCGTATAAAAAGTAATACTCATTTAGATTCTAGTGAAACAGAATTCAATTCAATACCATCAATGATTATTACATCATTAGCAGCATCTACAGAAATAGATGTTATTTTATATACTGATATAATTCCATGTATTATGTCTGTTCATAGGTAAGTTGTAAATGTCCATTAGGTTCTGTTGTTGTTGCTGTTTATAGTTGTATTCTTTTGTTCTACAAATGAAAAGGTGTAATTCATCTTCATTAACATCAAGATTATAGTATTAGAAGTTGTTGATGATTTCTTGGAAAATTTAACCTGACCTTGACGTGGTGGTCGGGTTTGCCTATCGTGATGAAGCAACCGAGCTATACTGGCTGGAACAACCGTTCCCCAAGGTCTTACTATGTAAGACAGGTCGGTCGAAGAGCGGTAAGACTAAAAGCAACAAACCCAATGTCCGAAGGCGAAGTCGTACTGCTGACTGTACAGAGGTGTGACAGCAGTAAGGTGTTTCTTTCAGACAACCAGTATAACAGCGATGCAGCCTTCCCACAAGGAGGGGTAGGGTTAGAAAAGGTCGACCCTAAAAATGCACACTTCACCTTAACCCACGGATATCCGTCTCTGGCGCTAAGGTCCCAACAAGTACAAAGCTAACACAAATTACCCATAAAAAGGTCGTGTGTGGCCGACCACAAGCAGTTGTCCCTTGGACACTGCCGTCACGCTCTGAAGTCACTAAGACCACCTCTAATCCAATTTCCTTTTCAGGCACCTTCAGAAGAGCCCTTCCACGGTGTGGTCAACCGGGAAGTGATAACCGCCTTCATACCTCTAACAGCACTCAGGACCACTGACTGACTGAATGGAAAATTTAATAAAAACCAAGTGGAATACTAAAAAAATTACATAAGAAATGAATCAGTACACTTTAGATACTTTCAAAACTGTTGAGATGATCCAGAAAACTTCTCACAAAAGATAAGAAAGGCTCAGGAAACACTAAGAAACATTTCATCAAATCAGTGTTCACTTGAACTTTAGCCAGAAACATCAATAAAGTGAAAAGTCACATGTAGAGTTTCTGATTGGCTGATTACTATACTGCTACTATGTTGAGTAGCATCCCAGAATCTTCGGGAAACCCAAGGACATCTAAAATACTATAAAAACCCTGTATTTTCTGTACTAGGAAGAACCTTTGGAGTAAAGTACTTCTCGCATACTTTTCACCTTTTCTCTCGTGTTCAGGTCGCTGTGTAGTTCTAACTTGGGAGTTACAAGAATAGCTTATGAACCGAATATAGCCTTCATTTAGCAAGATTTATCGAAAACAAACTTATCATACTTTTTCTAAATTTAATGGAATAGTATATTTTCCCCCAATCTTCTAGAACCTTGATTTTTTTAAATGCACCTCTATTTGGAGGGGTTTTGTGGAGATTGTAGTAACTTCAATAGTTGAGATCATGAGCCAATTGAAGCTAGACCATCATGAAAACCTGGAAGCACTAGACGGCCGTTTCGTCCTAGTATGGAACCCCTCAGCGATACGCATTCACGACCCCGCCACGTGGGATTCGAGCCTAGGACCTACCAGTCTCGCGCGCGCGAGCGCTTAACCTCTAGACCACTGAAATGGCCGGTATCCAATCGTGTTAATGTCTAACTTCAACTAATCCACCATTGTCATCAGTGAATTACTATCTCACAACTGACCCGGTTAACTCTACTGGTCGCTGCTTCTTGCTAGAACTCCAGGATATACATCTTGGAGCCAGTCGTGGATGCGCATTGCTAAGGAGTCCCACAATAGGACGAAACGGCCGTCTAGTGCTTCCAGGTTTTTCATGGTGGTCTAGCTTCAATTAACCCATGATCTCAACTATTGAAAACACCTATTTTTATATGTAATTCAACGTTCAAAGTAGTGCTTCTATTTCCTTTTGAAGGAGTTGAAAATTTTCAAAGACTAAAAGAAATCCATCGTCTGAACTGTCCAAAGTATAAGATTTATTATATTGAATAGCTGTTTCACTTTAGGTTGGTATTTTTGCGTCTAAAAACCGTAGAGTATCAGGTAATCACGTATAAAAGTTTGCTCCCAAATACCTCTGGTACGGCCGAGGGTGGGGAGAGTCAGTCCTATTCATCGCCTTCTCGCGCCGGAGGTATTGTTTACGAAATTGAGGGGACGAAAAGTGAAACTCCGGCATTTTAACCGGGTTGGTGGATACGGAGGATTCACCTAGAGGAGTTGAAAAACCCTGATTCCAAACCAATAGTGCACATGGGCTCCACGATCCTGAGGAAACGAGTGGCGTATGAACCAATTACTGGTGACCGAGTACCATGGGAATGCATCTCCTGACGTCGCTCTACTGCCTTGTGTATATATAACTCTGTCGATTTCTAGCTAATTTAATACAAGATTTCTAATAAAAAAACCAGTGATTATTTATGTTCTTTTTCCCATTTCGAATCTCATTCAATAAATGCGGGAATAAGACGGTAATTCATTCATTTTTTGTCTAAAATGACAATGAAAACTCAACCATTAACCTATCTACTTCATAAAGAAATCTTCTAAAGGAAGTTTTTTCTTCTGTTTTCTTTCCTCTTGAAGGCTAAAGTCGTCCATATTTGATTTTGCTATTGCTTGTTTAATAACTGGTTACCTTGGATTGATGTATATGTTCTTGGAGGTGAGTTTTACCTGTTGTATTCTGTTCTTTTTTCCGTGTCAATATAACATTTGAAATGTTTCAATTCCGAGGTCTTTAATACATTGGTTGTTGGCTTTTTATGAATAGATTCAGGAACTATCGTTCTTTTAAACTTCAACTATGATATGTGAATCTGACTGATCACTTGGCATTAACCGATGTCAAGTATATTTACTCGCTAGTATTAAGCTAGTTTCATCACTAGTCATCACGTATACTATGCTTTGATTTTAAATGGTTGAAGACAATCAGAAAAAAGCTATACATTTAGATGTTCTCGTCAGTTGGACACATCTACACCCTTATATATGACATAGTAATATCTCTGATTGTAACACAGTGTTGAGATAGATTCGAACCCCCCCCCAGAGTAACATCAGCTCTTGTATAAAGCTCAAGACTTCCTGTTGTAATTCACTCCAACTATACATACTCTGATTACCATGACATGAAACGGCCTATCTAGTGTTCTGTTGAATGACTAAATGGTTCCAACTCTCGTAGATGGTATATATTTTACAATTGCAGACAATTTGAAACCTTCCCGACAATCCAGTTTTATAAATCATTAACAAAGCACTAACTATCTTTAAATTTTCATGTTGACACAGTTGTGACCAAATAGAAAAAATACTTCTAGCTTCAGTTCGATTGTTGTTGAATACGGATAACTATTAATCCTCTCCTTAGCTCCCCCTCACTTCCTCAAATAAATCTAAAAGATTAATCTTCATAATATTTATCAGTATAGCAACAGATAAAACTAAGTGAGCCCCCAAATGCCCTGGTTACGGCCGAGAGTGGGGAGAGTCCGCTCTCCCTCTCGAAATGCTCTCATATGGCCACGCGTATATAGCCTCTACCAGGGAAGTCCTACTCACTGCCTCCTGGTATTGGTGTTGTTTACGAAATTGAGAGGACGAAAAGCGAGTGTCCGGCGCTTTGACCGGGTTGGTGGACATGGAGGGTTCACCTCGGGGAGTCGGAAAACCCTCATTCCAAACCAACGATGCGCATGGGCTCCAGTATCCTGAAGGAGCAAATGGCGTATGAACCAATTATTAGTCACCGGGTACCATGGGACTGCATTTTCTTACAACGCTCCACTGCCTTGTGGATCAGACCTTTAGGCTGAAGGCTTTGAGTAAGACCCCCTAAGAAAACCATCTGCTTCGTTTTGGGCACCCGGGCAGTATCACAGCCCTCACATATATTGAGTGAGATTTGTGTGGTGCATATATATTCAGTGCCCATTTGTACCAATATCCATGTGTTAAAATAAAGAAAATAAAAAAACTAAGTGAGCAGCTTTGTATACTGTCATATTTTCCAATGTTCTTGTGGTGGTGAATCGCAGCAAAAGAATTAATACTTCAACCCTAAGTGTCTGTATATGAGTAAAGCAAAAAGTAACAAATTACAGTTATTATGAAATGAATGTTACTTGTAACCTGCTCTGTAAAATAACAACCATAAATGAGTTCACCTGATTAACAAATATTCCTCTACACATGGTAACATCAACTGCGTAATGAGAAATATTAAATCCAATAGTATTGTTTAATAATGATTCCGGCCAAAAATTCAACGTACTATGGAAAGGCCTAAAAAAATATTATAACACTATTATACTCTGCAGTCAAATGCCGTAGCCAATAAAGCAGAAAAACAGACGGTGGAGATAGTGTTTATATTTTAACAATCGCGGTAGTGTATGTATGGCGTAGGTGTATTCACTCTCTGTCTTCCCTTAAACTATGTCAGTCAGTCAGTCAGTAACAACGTAAAACTTCGTACGTACGTACGTCAGTTCGAGTTGCCATACCACATTAGAACAGTGATGCAGTTTTCGATTCAGATCCCATAGTGGTAGAGGTAGTAAGAGTATAAGCAGTAATCGGAAACATTAGGGTTTAAAGATGTTATTCAAGGAGTATAATCCAGTAAAATAAATTTGGAAAGAGAAAAAAGAAAGGGACATGAAGAATTCAGAAGATCAGAATTTGGGAGAACACAAAGACTGGATGCATCTGTGCCATTGCAAACTATTTTGAGTCATGTCATTCAAGGTCTCTAACCATTGGTTGCTATCGTCTCGCGGATCCCAAACAGGTAGTCAACACTTACAAACACGACTCAGTCCACTTATCAGTGACTTCATGAATTAAAATCGCTTCATATCTTTCTTTCTACAGACTAATGCTTTCTTCGTTTATTATATCCTTATATGCAATCTTTCTTTTATATATTACCACCACTGAATTAACTACTATGAATTCGGTGTTCATCTTATTGTGCTAGTGAGTTGTGGCAAGTTGGACCGATGCATATATGTGCCTGGTCCTACGTTGTAGCTGACTGACTGGGTGTATGTATATAGCCAAACAATTATATCCGTTTCTTTACCATTGATACAGAGAAAAATGGCTTTTATTTTGTCGTTACAAAAATCACGGAATACACATGTCACAATACTCCTAAAAAAAAGGAAAAATAGGGTAAGACCACAAAGGCGAGGGGGATATGTTTATTTGTCGCAAAAATGAAGAATATCTCTTGTAACTTAAAAGTGAAATGAAATGGCAGAGTTTGTTCGAACTCTCTCTTATAACAACGTACTTACTTATCCCTGTTACTCCTCGTGAATGAACATAGGCCTCCCATTTCCGTTGCTATTTGACTGGTCTCCTACATTGTCCGTACGTTCCATGTACCTATAAGAATTGTTACTCTGACTGTCAGAAAAGACATCAGCCTCATGACTTCCGAAGGAACTCGGCTTTCACCATCTGAACTCTTCTAAATGAAGACCTTCTAACTCCCAAGGCAGAGTTTAAATGGTTTGAATTATTTTTTCCTGTTTAGCGTTTTTTTTTAGCAAGTTAGTTTTCTGTGAGATGGAGTCGCTAACCCCTATGCCTAACTCTTCTCCTTTATCCGGACTTAAGACCGGCAGTAACTCTAGAAAAGCTATAGGCGGAGTTCTTACAACAACTTACTGTCTATTTATATGTTGTTTTTCTATTAATTTTCTTTCCCTACAGCATTTTCATATGGTGCAAAATCTTTTCAAATTTAATCGAATAGTAAAATCAAAATCTCAATGACACTATAACCTGGTAGTTTATGTACGTTCGTACATACGAACGTACATGTTGTAATCTGTTGTAAAGAAGATGGAGATTGAGCAGTTTGTCGTTGGGGGTGTGTGTGTGTGTGTATTTGCATGTACATTCATTTGTATTATTAACTGTTCCAATCAATATTAGTTTTTATTGGGCAATATTCTGTCACTTTTAGTCTTTTAGTATAATTTATTATGTGTATATCATTTTTTGCATAGTTCATTTGGTTACCTACTGTGTATTTCACATTTTTACAAATACTTTATTAATAATCAATATACAGAGTGTTTTGAGCAATTTTCCCCACTGGATTGAAGTAAGAAATATAAACTATTCACTTATGAAAAGATGGATAATGGTTAACAATGGAATCCAGGACGCGCGTTTCGTCTTATCTTTGCTTAAGAATCTTGTAACTTAAGGTTATATCGAGGCAATCCGCAAAGGATGCACATATGTCAACATGAGACTGATTAATTACAGTCCTAAATAGCAATGGGAAGATACAAGTAAAACAACACCAAGTGAATTTAAACTTCACCCGATTGCACAAGCAGGTGGCTATCAGGACTCAGTAGCTAAGTAATCACATTTGGTTGATCACTGGGTGGTAATAAGTGTCATGTGTGTCAAGTCCTTAATGCAGATCGAATGCTGTCTACCAAATCGCAATGTGGCAACTAGTCTAAGTGACTGGACACTGTATGCACTATGTTGAGATTAGATGGTGGTTGGAGGTAGTCGACAGGAAACCCGGGTCCAGGGTAAAACAACAAGTGAATTGATTCACTTATGAGTTTATGAATTAGTTATTTTAAAGGTGTTTTGGTCATTGTGATAAATGAAAGCGGTTGGTTGAAGACTTATTGATGAATCTGAGATTATAAAACGAAATAAACGTCATATATTTCTGGATTCTCAGTAAATTACTTTCATCTGGTTATTGATACCTCCGTGGCATTGCTCGAACATATTGAGAACATTGAATGAGCAATGCTGGTATTAAACATCGGGTACTAGATTAACTAAGCCGAATAGTTCGATTAGATATTTAATCTTCAACTAAGATGATTGTGACATGTATTAGATATACCCAATTATCCTATACATCGACACACGACGTTCGTTGGTGTAAGAATATGTTAGAAGAAAGTTAGAGGCAGTCAAATCAAAACGTGGCATCACTCCATAAAGTTACTGACTATTAATTTGATTAATGTATACCACTTGATTGGATTAAACGCGATTATTGTAATCAATGAATGACATACCTGAGTATCGGATGCAATAACGCAGATTTATTCACTCTGTTATCTCTTAGATCTCAAGTTTCAAAATTATCTTGTACTTTTCATTTATTCATGTCCCATATCTAATGTCTTCCAATGTCTCTAATACTGTTGCTGCTTCGACAACTGTAGCATTTGTGTTGACAGTGTAGTATTCGATGTACTGATGATAAAGTGAATCAATTTAAAATGATCCATATATGTTTAGATGGTGGTTGGAGGTAATCAACAGGTTTCCCGCAGTGTCGAGTCACCTAGACTGGTGGCCACATTGCAACATGATCGATAGCATTCGATCTGCACTAATAAGGACTAGACAAGCATGACATTGATCACCACCCAGTGATCAATCAATTGTGATCCATATATGTGCCAGATTCCACGTTATAACTGATTGATGGTTGGTGTTAATTAGTAACAGAAACTGGTTTTATTTAATTTCGATACTCTTATATTACGAACACATCTAGTTGTGAATACATTAACGTTTACTTATTCACTATTATCATCCCATTACAATATTTTCCTTACAACTTCTCTTGCCTAAAAGTAAGAAAGGTTCCAAACAATAAAAGAGGCATGGTTTGAAAATGTTAAATACACTTTCTGAATTATAAGACTAATGAGCAATTGATTTTGGTTGCTCCCAAATGCCCTGGTACGGTCAAGAGTGCGGAGAGTCCGCTCTCCCTCTCGAAATGCTCTCACATGGCCACGCGTATATAGCCTCTGCCAGGGAGGTCTTACTCACTGCCTTCTCGTGGTGGGGGTATTGTTTACGAAAATGAGAGGACAAAAAGCGAATGTCCAGCACTTTAACCGGATTCCAAACCAATAGTGCACATGGGCTCCAGTATCCTGAAGGAACAAATGGCGTATGAACCAATCGTTGGTCACCGGTTTCCATGGGATTTCAACTGACTGCCCTGAATACTTGAACCTTACCTCTAGGTTGAGATCACATTTTATACCAACTGATGACATACCAATACAGAGAAGGCAGCTGAAATAAACTTACAAATAGATCACTCACAGTTCCATCTGATTTGTATCAGGCGACTGGTATAGTTAGATGTGACTCATACACACATTACTATCGTAGTCGTAAGCCAAGTCAAACTATTAGCCGTATCTATTAACCCAAAAGTTCCTATGATCCATGTCTACATCAACTAATCTTAATTATAATAGTAACCTATGGAGCTAATTCAGTGTTTTCAAAAAAAATTAAGGGCACTTTGAAAATGGTCATATGAATATTTGATTGTATTTTCGACTCATCATTATATTTTACACCTACTGAGACTATCCAGTTTTTAGAATCGTATTAGGTAAGACAATGTTCGAACTTATCGTTAGCTGGTAAGAACTTGAAAGTTTTGATTACTTGGAATCAAAACAATTTAGATTTTGTTGCTAACCAATCGTTGAACACCGGCTACAATGGGACTGCATCTCCTAATGTTGTTCCACTGCCTTGTGGATCAGACCTTTAGGTCGAAGGATCCGGGTATGGCCTGCTTCGGTGTGAGAAGCCGAGCAGTATGCCAGCCCTCACACATATCAAATGAGATTCGTATGGTGCATATGTAACTGGTGCCCCCTTTTACCAGTATTTATGCGTTCAAATAAATAAAATAATTAATTTTCAATGTTGGCTAAAAATTGTGATGACTATTTACGCTTGCCTCCGAATGCCCTGGTACGGCCCAGATTGGAGAGTTCGCACTCCCTCTTGAAATGCTTTCACATGACCCCGTGTATATAGCCTCTGCTAAGGAAGTCCTACTCACTGCCTTCTCGTGGCGGGGGTGTTGTTTACGAAATTGAGAGGACGAAAAGCGAATATCTGGCACTTGAACCAAATGCTCAGCCTTAGTATTACTCACTTGTTGGTTCTACTATACAACCGTAGACCAATACAGTCTTAAGACAAGCAAACCGATATCTTTCATGGGACACAAGTTGACAAAAGCTATACAACAGGACCCATACTCAGCATATTTTTGAATAATATGAGTCAGTCAGCTACAACGTAGGACCAGGCACATATACACATCCGTCTAAGTTGCCATACCTCATTAACACAACAAGATGGACACCGGATTCATAAAAGTAGTTAATTCAATGGTGGTAATATATACAAGAAAGATTGCAATAAGGATATAGTACAGCAAGAAAGAATTAGTTCCTAGAAAGAAAGATATGAAGCAATTTTAATCTCTTAGTTTGAGGGAAGACAGAGAGTGTATACACCGACGCCATTGTGATCGATTCTGAGCCATGTCACCAAGAGTCTCCAACCATTGGTTACGACAGTCACGCGGACCCCAACCAAGTAGTCTGCATCTACCAACATGGCTCAGACTAGAAGTTAGTGACTTCAAGCACTGATGCCACGTTTTCGTTTGGCCGCCCCTAATTTTCTTCCAATCATCCCGAACATCGGTTCCCATTGCATGTCGTAGTAATCGGTGTTCGGGCATACGTAACACGTGGCCCAACTATCTCAGTCGATGAAGATTCACAACCTCATCAACTGACTTACCATCCTTCCCTAATACCCTGCGTCTAACCTCATTATTATTTATTTGGTGAACCCATCAGATGCCAGCAATATTTCTGAGGCATCTGTGGTCAAATACTAGTGGCTTACAAGTGCCTTCTACTCTTAATGGCCATGTTTCGCTGCCGTAAATTAAAACAGGACGGACTGCCGCGCAGTATACTCGAGTACCACATGATTTATAAGCCCAAAAGAAATAATTTCGTCCAGCTCTATAAAAATAACTGTATGGCCAAATTGGCAGTGAAATTATCACTACCCGTTTTGCTAATGACAGTCGGTAAGCATTTTATATAATTATTTCTTGATGGTATATACTATATAATCTCAACATACTCCTAGACTATTTGATTTATCTGTAATAACAAGAATGATTGTAACAACCCACTAGTAATATTGATAGTGTGCTATTAAGTATAAATTTAGTTGTATTTATTCGTTATCTTTCACCAAACTTTAAGCTTAGTGTTATTTTATTCTTCGATCTGATTCATTTGCCGTGAACTATACTTCTTAGGTTTAATCCTAATAACTATAATAAATAGTAGTATTTTTAATTTTTCCTCCAGTTTTGCACCTCGTGTTAATTACCTATCTTGGTTACATTAACATGGTGTGTGGCAATTTCAGGTTAATACAAATCCATACTAGGTCTCATGCTGTGAATTTCTGACGGTTATATTTACTAATTGAGATCTTGAGAGACGTCAGATAACAACGTAAATCGAGGTAGACGGGACAGTTTTTAAATGTATGACCCTAAAATTGAATCCTGAGAGCCCATTGAGATCGTAGTTCTTTGATATCATATGAAAAGAAAATAACCACAAGCAGTTTATTAACTTATTTTATCAGTATAAACACTAATTTACATGATAATGAATAATAATAATCATGAAGACATATACACAAATATTTAACAAATCAATTTATTGCTGGTTATTCATCGTAATCCTCGTTATCGTCGGCTTCTTCTTCCTCTTGTTCTTCGTCTGATTCATAATCTTCTCCCGGTGTACGACCATCAGCACCATCATAATCGCTGTCATCGCTCTAGATGAAAAAAAATGGAAAGGAAGATCTAGAAAGTTTTCAGGATGATATATGACTTCCTAGAAAATTGAACTGAATCTTAAATCATAAGTTAGTATTCTCAAGTACTAGACACTGATATGTAGGTATAACTAATCCTATGACAAAGCCTAAAACCATAAATGCTATACTGTGATATTGGCTTGTACGTAACCGCTCAGTGTAACGCATTTCATTAGTTAAGTTTTGTTCCAACTAACTTCATTGAAAGAGAGGTTCATACATGAACTGACGAGTCTTAAACCTTGATCGTAAAATATAATACAGCATTTGACTTTTCAAAATTTAAGAAAATTTAGTGAGACTTCCTAATTGAAAAGAATGACAAAACATAATTGAATAACCAAACATAATGGTTTGAACAAGTTTAATTACTCATCTTTCAAACATCCGATTGTGATCTCATGTACTTACAACAAAATTAGTAACTTTATACAGGCTGATGTATATTTATTATGAATGACAAAAAAAACAATACATTCTACGCTACGTTTTCATATCAATATGCTCCATAAACCTACTCAGAAATGAAATACTCTTGTCAAACAAATACTTATTCAATAGTTGGAATCATGAGTCAATTGAAGCTAGACCACCATGGAAAACCTGGACGGCACACTGCTGAGGAGTCCCATACTAGGACGAAACGGCGGTTCAGGTTTTCCATGGTGGTCTAGCTTCAATTGACCCATGATCTCAACTATTGAAATTTCGAAATATCTCCATAAAACCCCTTCTGATAATAATCATCTGCTCACTAGTGGCTGACTTCAAGAGGCATTTCCTGGAGTTTTAGTGAGAAGCAGTGACCAGCGGAGTTCAACCAGGTCTGTTGTGAGATATCAACTCACTGAAGACAATGGCGGAAGTTCGTGGATTGGTTGAAGTTAGACATTAACACCGTTGGATGCCGGCCAGCTCAGTGGTCTGATAGGTCCTGGGTTCGGATTTCGCGGAGGGCGAGATCGTGGATGCGTACTGCTGAAGAGTCCCATACTAAGCCGAAATGGCGATCCAGTGCCTCCAGGTTTCCTATGGTGGTCTAGCTTCAATTGACTCATGATTTCAACCATTGAAATTTCTAAAAAATATCCACAAAACCCCTTCAAATACCCATTCACTTTAATTAATAACTTGAATTAAAGCTGAGAGGACGTATAGTACAGAAGTGTATTAAGCACTACTGTCACAGCTGGTAAAACTTCTTAACATTAAACTAGTAAACATTTTTATTCAGTAAATACTAATATACTTCAATAACACGATCGATTCAGTCAGTCAGCAACAACGTAGAACTTCTTACGTACGTACATCGGTTATTACAACTTTAGTCACCATCACTAAATATGATAAATACTCCACAATAGGTCACACGACATGTAGACTAGTGATTAATTCTTCAGAAATGAGAACCAAAAAGAAAGTTACAGTATATATAAAGACATTATAAACTTTCAGTGTAACCTGGAAATCCATAACAACGGGACTACTCATAAGTATCTCACAATGTAAGAGGGGTTACTCGGAGTTTTTACAGATACTTTCCAAGCCAAAATGCTACTCAAATTCATATTACATTTAATAAAAAATTAAAAGAAAAATTTCTAGTGAATTTACTTAGACACTTAGCAATCATGGCTGATTGGACAAGTAGATTATGACTGAAAGTTAGTAGAGATAGTTAGACTGAAAGTTGGTCTTTATCATTTTCCAATAACGTAAATGAAATCTCGACACCAGTTTAGAAAGCTCAGTTGACTTGTGCCGACGTACATTACTTGCAGTATAGGCGAGATGTTCACTTGACAACCAAAACGACGAATATACCGACAGTCAAATCACTCTGCTTTACTTTAGTTATGAAACACAGCTTTTGAACATAGAGAACATTCGTAGGTTACTAGTATTTGAAAATAAATACTCAAGAATTCCTCATGCATGATAGGATCATCAAGTGGTCAATGCCGAGGTTAGAAAGTATACTACGTACAGATGGTAAATATGTAGATAAAAGGTTAGTGGGTCTTCATCGACTGAAGTAGTTGGGACATGTATTACGCATATCCAACTACTGTCTACAGCAACATGTGGTGTTGGCTGATGGTGTAGGATTACACTGGAATAAATTCAGGGACATGTGGCATCACTGTACGAATTCATTGATAGCTGAACTGGAGCATCTTAACAGATACATACTACCTGGTTCATTCGTTAAATTATCGTAACCAACAATTTGATGGGTCAGGTGACATGGCTTAAAACTGGTTTTAATGGTGCAGATACACTCATTCTTCGTCTTCCTTTAGATCCAAGGTATCTTATACTTTTTTACTCCACAAACTTATTCTTTATCAAATCATGCAGCCTATGCCTGATCTTTTTGTACTATCACTAATACTGTTAATGCTTAACAACTTTGACATGTCACTGTCGTGATATGACATAGCGAATTGAACTTATGCATATATAAATGTCACATTTTATGTTGCGTATGACTGAGTGACTGACTGGAATCGACTCAAGTTGAAAATTCAGATCACTAGAATCCTACTCAGTAACTTAAAGATAATGCGCTCGTTCCAAGACCTGTGTGTCCTAGACTCCAGCCAACATAGGTTTGTGAGTGTACAACACAAAAGTTTCAAACTAGAATGGAAAAGATATTCGGGGCTTCATGGTGTTTTAGTTGATATCAGTGTATGGTGAATGCTAATCGCAAATGTAAGACTGAGAAAAATCACCAAATATATCAATTTAAGAAAAAAGATTTTGCTTACGTCATAATCTTCATACTTCGATTCATTTGCATTATATCCAGAACTAAGGACATTTACTGACGTCGTTGTTTTGCGATGACGATCATCAAAATTACTTGCATCTGGTCTAGCAAGTGATATCGGTTTGGATAAAACACTAGATAGTGTACTGCCAACTGGCTTATGTTTTAAAATATTATGACCGTCGTCGTTCTTTTGCGGTGTAACATTTTCATTACTATATGATTTGTTGTTACTAGCCGGTTGGTTGGGTTTTTTATCTGGAGCTTCTACTTCAGGTGCATAATTGGTATATTCATTCAAATCGTCGACATCAGATCTGGATCTCTAAAAACAAAACAATAAACAAAGAGAATGTTTAGAGGTGATACGGACCGAAATGAATTAAATACTTATTTACGTTTGAATTGCAGTTCCGCTGTACCTATTTTGTCTGGTGTATAGTTACCGGACAAATGGTGGTTCTTAAATAAAGATGACTAGTTAGTCAGTCATAATCAACATATAGCCTGTAACAAATGTTTGTTAGCCAAAGTTACCATACCACATAACTACGAAGAGATGTAACTAACAGGATGAGTAGTAAAACAGTATAAACAAAAATAGTATTGATGACATTTGGGAAGTGATAAAAGGCTTAAGAGTTAGGCTTGACAGTCAAGTTTTGATTAATTGGAGTGACCTATAAACTGATATTCTCTAATCGTTTACGACAGTTTATTATGTTATGCTTTGCGTCAATTTTTCGTAAAAGCATATCATTTTGTTACATAAAAGCCCTAGTCTTCCGGTTAATGGACCTGTCTCTGATTACAAACTCAGACGCTTACATAAATAATCCGGTACTGTGAGTAATCATCACTCGGCAACATGGTAAAGTTGAATCTTATCAATCGATCAACATTTTTTTCCATGTTAACAACAGAAACTTCATTCCTAAGATCACAAAACCATCCTTCACAACGGAAAAATTGATAATAAGGGATGATAATATGCGCCTAATTAGTACCCTCTTAGTAAAATGTAGAAAAGCATGAATGATAAGTGAATTCTGATCTAATCATACTTTGATAATAGATAGTGAACCCTACACTTACTTTAGGAGGATGTAAGTCTACTGGTTCAGACATTTGATTCAAAGCTTGCTTACGTCTTCCACGTTCTACCTGAAATTTGTTACAGACAAACGCTTAAAATTACTGGAGTAGCATTTGGAGTCGTGACTTTTGGTTTGGTTTCTGTATCCGCAGCCTCATTTTCAAAGGAAATATCTCCAAGACCAGCATCCTATGATAATGAGACATAAACAAATCTAGATACCTGAAAAGCCCGGGTTTTTAGCTTTTGTTTTATCTGGTTAATGGTCTTTGTTTCGATAGCTTCAGCTACCTTGGACAGATCAGATCCAAAACGTCCAATAGCAGCTTTAAGATCTTCAACTTCCTTTTGTGACCATTTCCCGCAGGTCTTGGAATCCCCATCATTTTGTTGCGCTTGAAACTGCTTAAGATCTAAAGTAAGTTGGGCCAATCGACCGAACGCCACTGATGCTTGCTCAAAAATCTCGGCCACTCTCGAAAAGTTAGCCATTATCCAAAAAGTAAGTGATGGGAGGTTTGGAAAGCAAAGACTTTTATTGAAATAGTAGGTGTAAAGTATTTCAGAAATAAGAACTTTAGTATGTAGAATAGGCGAATGGATTTGAATTAGGTAGTGCTGAATTTTAGTTAGTCACCGTCCGTACTCCCCCATTGAAATTTATTGCAGGATGCTGAAAAAAAAAGAAATGAAAAACCAAAATACTTCGGCAACCTGTTCAATCAGTTCGAGGCTATAGGTTAGAATCGATGGAATAGACAGTATTCACCGCCCCACGAAAATAAACGATGCATAGTCCGAATAATATCAGGTAGCAAATTTAAATAAAGCCAGAACAAAAATTGACGCAGGATAATATGGACTCATTATATTTCGTGGTTTCTCGTCAGCTGCTTACAACCAAATATGTATTGGAATTTTACATTGAGATAAGAAATAATATGGAACAATTGACATAAATGAATGTAAATAATTGGAATGACAAAGGTTATCAAACTATATATATACAGTTGTTTGAGTGAGCAGTCCGTCTCCCATACTTTCGTCAGTTTTGATGCGGAATTTAATATGTGATTAATTATTCCAGCAATTTTGTCTCCTTTGAAACGTAAGTACAAGAAGTAAGTTTTAAGTGCGCGGTCAAGAAAAATTGTTCAAAGTAATGCCTGGATGATTAAATTGATCTCGTCACCAATTGCCTATGTAAAAACGCATATCCGGTGAAATTCATCCATAAATATGCAAAAACCAATCCTCAGACAAAGTATGATAGAGTAGAAAAGAAAACTTGCTTGTCAGATCCGCCCGCCGTTTCGTTTCGACGACCTTGAACGGCCTGACAAGATGAGGTCATTTCGTATTTCAATTGCTGTAGGTTTGTTGGATGTCCGTTTGGTCACATGAATATTAAGTGTTCTCATATTCAAGTAGTCTTTTACTGCAGTAAAATCACTGCGAAAAGCATTAATTTAGCTTTATCTTTTTGTAGTGTATTCGTTGACTCTATTGTTGCTTCGTAACTTGATGGGTGATCTTATCCGCAACGCAACCATGTAAACTTAATGTATCGCACACTGTCATTTGTGCGTTCAAGTAACCACAGATTTTGTCATTTCATAATGTATTTTTAATTAAATAACTAGATTATGTAGTTAATTTTTCTCTGTTTTTAATTTTTATTCTCCACGTCCGACTGCGTTACACTGTACGTCCATTGCACGCTGAGATGATATCTCAAGTCATAGTGAGTTTATTCACATAGTTGATTGTTTCCAGATAGACTGTCAGTGCATGATTTTACTGAAGAAAGGTTCGTTGTACTGTAAACTGTGTTTCTATGAACAACTCCCTGTTGTCTTCAGTATGAATTTATACTGAATACTGCTTTAAAGTAGTATATATGTATCCTATTTTTCTTAGGTAAGTTCAACTGGCCTATATTTCGTGTTTTGGTTTTATAGGCCTAATTATGTCCATTTAACTACTTTGAGCAACATGTCTATGCAAATGAAACAATAACTATGACACTTGCTTAGTTTAGTGTTCTTGGTTCAGTTTCAGTTTCAGTTTGGGAAGGACAGGAGGCTCGATGGCCTATGTTAGTCCTGGCAATGGTGGTCTCTCAGTTGATCCAACTTTCTTTTGAAAGAGTCGACGGATGGAGCCTCAACCACGTGCTGAGGTAGTGAATTCCACTCGTTGATGATTCGATGGGAAAGTCGATAGTCAGCTGACAAGTAATTTGTTCTCGGCTTGTGAACTTTTTTGGAGTGTCCTCGTAAATTCTCTGTTTTGGAAGACAAGAAAAATGAGGGCATGTTAGGTGCAAATTTATCACTAAGCAATTTGTAGACTGTAATCAAGTCGCCTCTAGTTCTGCGATATGACAACGGGAAAAGGTTCAGCTTGGCCAGTCGAGATTCATACGGAAGCTTCGCTATTCCGGGAACCAGCTTAGTCGCCGTTCTCTGAACCTTTTCCAGAAGCTCACTGTCTTTTTTAAGCAGGGGCTAGCCGCTTGTATGCAGTACTCAAGTTTAGGACGAACGAACACTGTATACAAAGTCAAAAACGTCTTAGCGTCGACATGACTAAAAGCCCTACGTATTGACCATAACGTTCTAAAACTTTTGGCGGCTATTGCACGGCAGTGTGCAGTAGTCTTTAAGTCTTGACTAACGATAACTCCTAAGTCATTATATGTCTGGACGACAGGTAGCTCAGTGTTATTCATCGTGTATGTATCTGTGCCTTGATGACCGATATGCATCACAACACACTTGGAAGTATTTATCGGCAACTGCCATGTTTGAGACCATTCAGATAACTTCTTCAGGTCATTTTGAAGTTCTAAGCTATCACTCTTACATCGTATCGTTTTCCATATCTTGACATCGTCAGCATATAGCAAGACCGATGATGATAGGAGACAAGGAAGGTCATTTACATACAAGAGGAATAGCACTGGCCCCAAAACTGTACCCTGGGGCACTCCACTAAGCACAGTTTCCCAGCTAGATAACTTTGAGTTCACCCTTACTCTTTGTTGACGCCCAACTAAGAAGTCTTTTATCCACATCAATAAATTGCCTCCAATCCCGACTTTTCTAATATATATAACAGCCGGTTGTGCGGAACTTTATCAAAAGCTTTACTGAAATCAATGAAGGCGACGTCTACAGGTAGCTTTTGGTCCTTAAGAGCGCACCAGCTTTCACGAGCCACTAATAAGTTAGTGAGACAAGAATAACCTATTCTGAAGCCGTGCTGCTTCTCCGAGAGGATCCGGTTTTTATCGAGATACTTAAACAGCTCCTTCCGAATAATCTTTTCTAATATTTTAACAACCACACTAGTTAGGCTAACGGGGCGGTAGTTCTCAGGTTTGTGTTTCGTGCCTGTTTTGAAGACAGGACTTACTATGGCGTTTTTCCAATCTTTCGGTAAGCGACCCTGCGTAACGGATAGGTTAAAGCATGTACTTAAAGGGCTTGCAACGAAGTTAGATAATTCCTTCAGTAGCCTAGGATGTAATTCATCGGGCCCCGTGGATTTACCGATGTCAAGCTTATTTAGCAGACCAAAGACATCGAGTTCTTTAATGGTCACGCTATCCAGTGTATGTATGGGGGGATCTGTATACGCTGACGAGAAGGGCGCTTCTATGGTATACACGTTGCTAAAGTAGTTCGAGAACGCTTGAGCCTTACCAAAGTCGTCCTCCACTAATGATGAAGCAGTACTGTCTCCCCATAGAGCAGGAATATTTCCTTTTCTCCTTGTCCTTTGGTTTATATAGGAATACAAGCGTTTAGGACATTCTATGGATTCCTTAACAAGTTTTTCTTCGTACAATTTTCTAGACTTACGGAGGGTCGAGGCACAAGTGTTCCGAGCCTTTCGATACTGAGATTTTGACTCATCAGTCCCCAGTAACCTAAATCTATCCCACATTTTCCTTTTCTTACGGAGAAGGATACGGACCTCCCTACTGAACCATGGTGGTGAGTTTTTCGGCCCCTTTGGTATAGTCCAAGGGATGTGAGGTGTGGTAACTTTTAAGTATGAATTTCGAAATGCGTCCCAGGCCGTTTCAATGGAGGACTCTGGGTCTATTGTCCAATCTATTAACGATGCTGAGTGCATGATGTCTGGTATGTTTGCTTTCCAGACGTTGGGTCTGGACTGGACTGACGCGTCCTCATGACTGGCAGTTATATGGAAGTCGAAAGTTAAAACTGCGTGGTCACTTTTACCTAAGGGTGGCATATGATGGAGGTTCACAACATCATCCTCATAGTGAGTCAGTATAAGATCTAATAAGGATGATTCAGTGTCCGGATCGTACCTTGTCGCTTCTTTCACATGTTGCACTAGAGCACATGTGATAACCGCATCAACTAGTTCCTGCTCGAAAGAATTCTCCGACGATTTAGTTCGCAGATTTTCCCAGTCTACCATAGGTGCATTAAAGTCCCCTAGGATTAGACATCGACCACTTTGGGACCAAGTATTGAGACTGCTTAACAGGATCTCATTTGCCTCACAGCTTGGACTGCGATAGACCAAACCAATCAGCAGCTCTTGTCCCTTGCATTTTAAGCGAAGACTAACTAATTCACACGTCCCACTCTCATGGGATACACTATCGATAATGGTAAATGGGATAGCATTCCTAATGAATAGAGCTACTCCCCCTCCTTTGCGCTTTTGTGTTCTGTCGGCCCTTACTAACGTAAAGCCCTCGAAATCAAGTTCTATACTATCTATAGCCTGTGTCAGCCAGGTTTCTGTTACTGCGATTATATCTGGCTTTGTAGAGTCAATCTGTACACCTAGTTCCGATCGCTTATTAAGTAAGCTTCGTGCATTGGTGTAACAGATCCGAAGCCTGTTTAAGTGCCTTCGTGCTTCACCCAGAGTGGCTTCGGCATCATTCTCTGTCGAAGTCTTACAACCCGAAAATTTACAATTTTCAGGTCCTTTTCGCCAGCGTCTAACCTATGTTGTAGTTCTTTCTCGGCTTCCCGTCTTTTAACACGGTCTGCCAACGGTAGGTCCTTTCGGATAAAGACTCCTGAACCCTTTAATTTGTGTCCATTTTGTAAAATTAGGTCACGTTCGTTCGAAGAGCCGAATACTACTTTAAGCAGTCTGGAATGATTTGGTTTCGAGTCCGTTAGACTCCCTAGTCTGTACACCTTTAGCAAGGTGACCCCGGTCATATTTTGAGGCATGAGTTGATTAAGCAGCTGCCTAATCAGTACAATGTCATGCTCAAAACGAGCTTTAGGTTCAGAGCTATCGCTCTCCTTGATTCTATGAAAAATAGCTGATCTGTCGCTATAATCAGCTTTCGATTTTTCAACCACTCTTACGGGGGCAGGTTTCTCTTTTATATCCCTACTTTTCTTCCTTACAACCTTTACCCATTCGTCAACGGTGCTGGTAGAAGCAATAACAGTTGCGTCAAACCTAGTGTTGGGTTTTGGGGGGTTGTCGACGACCTGAGAGGTCGTGTTATGTTTACCGTTTGAAACCGATCGAGCCTTGCGATTGCGGCTTCTAGGTGTTTCCTGTTGGATCCCATCTGGAAGACGGGGAACAGAAGACCCTACTTTTCTTGAGCTTTTGTTTAAGGCAGGCCTCTTTGGAGACTGCTTTTCCTTCTTTGACGGGCGTGAGTCATCTATCACCGGACTAACCTTAGTTTCCTTCACGTTGATTTGCGTGTCGACAGATCGAGTGCTGTTTGACGCGTTCCGACTATGCTTGCTAAAACACTTCTTTGCAGCATCAACCAGTGAGATGGCCTCGGTTAGCAAGCTGTTTGCATCCGAGCAGCACTGTTGACAAAGCCACACACAACCCTTCTTACTGAACCGTTTGAAAGCAGCAGGCGTTAAGTTCGTGCAAACTTCGTGGTACCAGCCTTTGCACTCGTCGCACTGCATGCCGCTTTCAACAGGATAACGACAACCCGGACGTTGACAACTGCTTTTTTTACACTGTCCGGTCATTTAGGAGGGGTTCTTTTTAAACTGTGATGATACTCAGAAACAAAAAAATTATCAATGACCAAAAGTGAAGAGCTGTAGATTGCTAGGACCAAAAGTACTAACAGATACAGTTGAAAAAGAGGTACTCAAGAGTACCAACGACAAAACAGTAAAAACGATACTTTAGTCGAATACTTTAACTGAAATAAATTCAATTAAAGTGAAAACAGTAGTCTTGATACGTAATAAACGATCAAAACAAACAAATTTACTCAGCGAGGAAAAATACCACTGTCCTTTTTTAAATAGCGCGCGTGCTATTCGTTGTCGTATAATTCAGTTTAGATGAAAGAATTATGATATACTTAAGTATAGTGCTTGAAGCCTGTAACGGAACAGTTCACTTTAGTAAGTAGAGTTGCCTGTTTTTAATGTGTATACGGATTCAGATCAG